AGGGTTGACTTAGAAGGTGTCATTCTAACTACCAGGTGCATATTCGTGAGTCACATGATGTTGATGGCTGTTGCCTGACATGTAAACAAGTGGTTGACCCAGCTATGCTTAGGATGTATAGGCTTGGGACTGGATGACAGGAAGGAGTATAATTGTCACACACAAGAGGAAAAAGACAAAGCGTTTCTTGCATTCACACAAGGAGATCTATTTTGAGAGAAAACTCCCAAAGTCACACACATTTAGGCCATTATTAATTGATGAAGTCTAAAGCTGAATAAACAATACTTTTATGCACAAGATATTTAATCTTGTGTTCTTATTAGACTTTAAAACAAGTGTATGACAAGCGCTGGGCGGCTTTGTACTCGAGTCCACAGACACAGGTCAGGCGGCTTTGTACTCGAGTCCACAGACACAGGCCGGGCAGCTTTGTACTCGAGTCCACAGACACATGCTGGGTGGCTTCATACTCTAGTCCATGGACAAGTTCCAGTTGGCTTTGTACTTGAGACCATGGTCACGTGCCAGGCAGCTTTGTACTCGAGTCCACAGACACGTGCCAGGTGGCTTAATACTCAAGTCCACAGACAAGGGTCGGTCGGCTTAATACTCGAGTCCACACACACGTGCTGGGCAACTTCATGCTCGAGTCCACAGACATGTGCCAGGTGGTTTAATACTTGAGTCTACGGATATACGCGGGCTGGCTTCTTACTCGAGTCCACAGACACATGCTAGGTGGCTTCATACTTGAGTTCAGGGACAAGTGCTGGTAGCCTTCACACTCGAGCACATGGACAAGTGTTGGGTGGCTTAATACTTGAGTCCAGGGACAAACGCCAGTCGGCTTCATACTTGAGTCCACAAACATGTCTCAGGTGGCTTAATACTCATCCACAGAAACACGCCGGGTGGCTTCATAATTGAGTTTTGTTTCTTGCTTGTGACATATAGCCAGGCGCATTGTCATGTTTGAATATATCACTTTCTTTTATATTTGGTCAGATATGTGACCTTAACAAAATGATATATTTTTCATGTTCCATATTTGATTATATTTTTATTGATTTTCTTACACCATTGCTTTTGTTGCATCCCCAAAGCATTAGACTCCAAATACCAAATTTTACAATCTTCATTCTAGATCATTGGATTGTTTCTTGCCTCACCTTGCCTATGGAGATATTCTCTTGCATTAGAATTTAGTTACAGAAAAGGTACAGGGAAGCTACATAACAGTGGTGGGAAAATGACTGAAGCCTTGATGCCAGGTCAGGACTGATAACTTTGCCGATTCTTTTGGAGATTTTCTCAAGAATAACTAAATCCATAGCAGAAGCATGGGACTAGATGTGGCAGCAAGATTTGATTCATGCATGAATGGTAGACTTAGAAAGGTGTAAATAGATTCTTATTGTTATTCCAATTCATATTCAATATTTACTTTTATGATGGGGACTGTATGTAAGAATTATTCCTCATTATTGCATCATCACTTTCAACATAGAAAATAGATTCCTTTATCTACAAATATAAAATTCATAATCAAAATATTATCATTATCTGGTAAGAGAATTTACCTTGTAGCTCTGGAACTCTCATGGAAAAATATGTCTGTCCATCTCTCAATCTGTCTGTCTGTAAGTATTGATAAAAGAATTGAGATAGAGCTATTTGGTAGCTGTTGTGATATTTGTCAGGAATGTAGACCTAACATGGTATAATTGGTTGTTTTATTCTTTTATTCTCTTTCGTATACTTTGCTGATGTATGTAATATATTCTTAGTTTAAGAGTGGAATATACAGTCGGTCATTGGATTGTTTTTTGTCCCAACTTGTCTATGGAGATACTCTCTTGCATTAGAATTTAGTTATAGAAAATCTATAGGGAAGCCACATTATGATGGTGAGAAATTGGCTGGGGCCAAGATGCCAGGTCAGGACCGATATCATTGCAGATTCTTCTTTATATTTAATCAAGAATCTCTAAGTCCATAACAGAAACACTGGACCAGATGTTGCAGCAATATTCAATGAGTGGTTGGCGTATAAATGTATAAGATCAATTTTGACTAAGATTATTCTTGGTATTCTAATTTTTTCTTCACTTGAAAAGGATTTTCACTTTTATGAGCTCAACTCACAACTTCACAATTTCTCTGTTTTTTTCAATGAAGTTTTGTCTCCTTTTCCGTTTAACTCTATCACCTAATCAACTATCATGGCTAATTTTATTATTTCAAAACCTCAGCAGTAAAATAAATCCTCTCTCAAACAGTTAACGACATCATTGATTTTATAAGTTAACCACAGAAAGACAATTTTGAACTGGTTAAATATTTATCTCGGAGCAATGTTTATACACAGATTAGGACAGGTGTGTAAATGGGCTGTGAATTAATTAGGATTAATGAAGATTAAGCCATTTGTGTAAAATGACTAGAAATTAAAATTAATTAAGATTAGGCCATATATGTAAAATGGCTGGAAATTAATAAAGATTAATTAAGGTGTGTAAAATGGCTGTAAATTATTTAAGATTAGGTCAGGTGTGTAAAACATCTGGAAATTAATTAAGATCAGATCAGGTTTTTAAAATGGCTGTAAATTAATTATGATTAGGACAGATATTTAAAACGAGTGGAAATTAATTAAGATTAGGTCAGTTGTGTAAAACAGTTGGAAATTAATTAGAATAGGCCAAGTGAGTAAAACGGTTGAAAATTAATTAAGATTAAGATGTGTATAAAATAGCTGTTAATTAAGATTAGGTCAGGTGTTAAAAATGACGGGAAATTAATTAAGATTAAGATTAGGTCAGCTGTGTAAAACAGCTGTAAATTAGTTAAGATTAATTAAGATCAGGCCAGACTGGAAATTAATTAAGATTAGGTCAGGTGTGTAAAACGTCTGGAAATTAATTAAGATTAATCAAGATTAGGTTTCTAACAACAGGTTTATTGAATATAAAGGAAAGAAATGATTGATTAAAATGTCTCTATTATCTACTGCAAGATCAAGTTCTCTAATGCTGGATGGTGATTTGAGAAATCTAGTTGTAAACACTATAGTAATAACCAGCCAGTCATTCAATTCTTCTGTCATGCATGTGTGTCTGTGTTTTCACTCTGGCCACAGGAAATGTGACCAGAGTGAATCTCTGGTGACTTTCATTGTTAGGCTGATTCTCTGTCTGTGTGTTGGCTTGAGGAGTCCTTGTTTATATACATGGCTCACTCCTCAAAAAAATAAATTGACATTGAAATTTCTCCATCATGACCAACTTAATCTTAGAAGGTCTGTTAATAAGCACATTTTATTTTTAGAATTTATTATTCCGTTATTTTTAGAATTTCTTGTATGTTTATGTAAAGGTAATGGTGTTGTTGGGTGATCAGATTCAACATAAACAAATCCCAAGCTTGGAAATTAAACAAAATTCAAAATTCTTCTTTGTTAAGAATAATTTGTAAGAACCCACGTTTTGGACAGATAGCATACTATAAACAAACCCCTGAATTTAATTTCTAAGGACCATAAGAAATCCAGATAACACATTAAACATGTCTTCTTATTGGCAGGGAGTGGATAGGATCAGGAACCTTGGTTTTGCTTCATTAAACTTAATCTTGGCTAGTTAATTCTGTGTTCAATTTACCTTGGAAATATTTTTAAATTCATTTTATTATTTTCAAATAGAATTTTTAGCCCATTCCTTTTTTTTTCATTTTTTCTCAACCATTTAACCTACTTTCCTAAGAATTTTAATGATTATTACCCAATTAGTAGTCCCTCCAAATCCCCATCCTGTAATTTCATGCAGTTAAATGTTTAAACAGGATTATTGTCCTGTAACACTTTGATCAAATGAATTTAAGCATATTACTATATTGGCAGTTAGGTTTCATCATTTTACTGTTGAAATTGCTTGATGTAACTGTAAATTCTCTTTTAATAGTTTCTTTTCATGCACTTCTCACCTGTGGAACATTTTTCCAGCTTATTGCTTTCCAATCAACTGTCATCTTTGATAATTTAAATGCAATGTCAATCAAACACCTGTCTTCTTGAATCCTGTTCTTTTATTGTAATCCTCTTTCACTCTCAGTAACCCCTTGTGTCTCATTGGCATTATCACCTTGCTTGGGGTGAAATAATTAAAAAAGAAAAAAATTGTTAAATGATTAGAATTAAGCCAAAATTAAAATAGAATAAATCAAAACGGAACTCTAAGAAAAATCAGGACATGACAGGGTAACAAAATGAAACAAATGAATTTAGGGGAAGCAAAACCGATGTCAAAATCTGATTTATCAGCTTATTGTAGTGTGGCACAATGAGTCTTTGCTTGGTTAGGACACTCATGTAGTCAAGTGAACTGTAAACGATTTAATCTGGTCCTGGATTGACTAGCAATTTAATGATAACTGACTGCATTACCAATAAAATTGAGATGTGAGAGTTTCAAAGCAACCACCTGCTGTCCAGATGTAGGGAAAAGGAAATGAATTGCATGAATAAATAAATAAAAACTTACAGGATCAAGTGCTACTTGACTGGAAGGTAGGGAATTCCCGGGCTTATATAGTCTGAATTCTAGATAAGGTTCACACAAGCAATCTGTCAGGATGTAGAATCAGAGGCAGTTGTAGAGTTGCAGTGAGAGTCACATGAGAGAGACAGTGTGAGAAAAGTCAGTTATGGTTAGAGTAAGACAGATGGAGAATTGGAGGCTGATGAAATTCTCACAAAAGGGAAGGAGTTTGTCCATTATTTTGTCATGAGAGAAGACAGAAGTAATGGTGGAAATATTCCAGGTGTCACTTACCTGCCTCAGACTGATCCAGGTTGAGAAACTTTTCAGCACTCCTCTTAATTGTTTTCAAATAATTATGTTCTATAAATAGAAATTGACTTGACATTGATTTTAATGGTTGCCTTTGGTGGCTTTTCTAGGAGTATTATTTAAAAAAGAAATATTATTTTTTTGTTTCAGACTTACAGGAATCTGTGATCAGTTTACGCAGCCAGCTTAAAGACATTACAGAAAAACATGACAAAGAAAAGAAAAAGAGACGTCAACTTCATAATGATCTGATGGTGAGTAAAAAATTTGCATTCATTGTTAAAACTATCCCAGCCTTACCATTAATGATAAGCAAATGGAAGTGACAAAACAAATGGAGATATTACATGGTTGAGATAAATAAAAGAGTTTTTATTTCTCATCAGCACAATTCAATATTCTTGGGATCTGCTCTGGAGGCCTGTCACTAATGCCAGCCTGATTGGATCTACCTTTGTGAGTAGAATCAGCATTGGTTTTATAGTGAGTTAGTGATTTGGGAACAGCCCTTTTCTGATAGGCCAGAAAAAATGTTTTATGACCCTGGTATTTTTGAACGGTATTCCAGAAGTGAATACAGAGCCGGATGTAATTATGAACAGTGGATATCAAAGTGAGTGCTTCTGTTTGAGTTGTATTGGTGTTCTGACAGTGTACAACATCCTCTTTGCAAACACATAATTTTGTTTCTCTGCTTTAATTTACCCAATTTAGCTGAATGACCCAAAGCAGACTGCGTAAATACATTTTCTGCACAATGGTCCTACATATACATCTGCTTTAACCAAAATAAAATGAACACAATATTATGGCCAATCAGAGCTACTCCCTCTCAAAAACCAAAACCTTAATTTTGAGCTGATTAATGGCTATATATACTCAAATTCAAACAGACCAGTGTTTGATGTCAACATTGGCACGCTGAGAGAGACACAATACAGTTTAGTGTTTGATGTCAATATCGACATGCTGAGAGAGTAACATCACCATGAACAACAGCTACCACCAATGTTCATTTAACTTCTAATTTCACCACTCTCTCTCCTTGTTACCTTGGAAACAGCAACAGATAGAAGTTACTAGTTTTTGTATATATGTAAATAAATTATACATTTATTTACCCATGTCTTCTTTTAATTGACAGTTGGATTTACACTTGCCAAGGTAGAGAAGGAATTAACCTTGACAAAATTAACAACAGTGACAAGGTTCTGTCTTCCAGGTTACTCAATTCTGCCCTTGCAACACCTTAAATCTTTACTAGTGTACGCTTGAGAACTGTCCTATACTCCTGCATCTGTCATGCGAAGTCTTCATAATTTTTTCTTCATAAAGCCACACTAGGATGATTAGACCTTGGTCTAAAAATGAGGAAAATTTAGTTTAACTTTGAAGGGTGTTGATGTTGATTGATTTCTTTTTTACATCTTATCAACCCTTTCTGAGTTGTTTAAAGCTGAAATATATTTTGGATGTTAAGAATAATTCTTTTTTGCAAATGAAGATTATATTAAAAAATTTTGGGAGATAACATTGATTTTACCAAATGCAAATCCTACCACTTAACCCATAGTTGGGGGATGTATTAATACTTTTCACAAGAGCTTTTGTGCATAAATGAATTTAATGAACCCAAGTGGAATTCTACTTCAGCTCTCCAATTTTTTATTCCGAGCTCTTATCCATTGTTCAGGTCACTACCATTGAGCCCATTTTCTCCGCGTTCATTACAAGTTCCTGGTCTGAAGTTGCCAAATATTTTACTGTCTCCCTCCGTCCCTACTTTTTATTCAGGTCTCCCATGAAGATTGTAATTTTCTGTGATTTTCATTGTGCCTTGATGTTATGTCGCAGGCAGTAAAACTTACAACTATGATGAATATATTTAAAGGCTTCCTTATAAGAATTCTATCAGATAGTTGTTAGTGTCCCAGAACACATTTCTTTATGTCTTGGTCTAATATGATTCCTACTCCCCCTTCATTTTCTCTTCATCTGCATATATGACCCCTTTGACCTTTCTGTGTCTATCTGAAGAAATCTTCATTGCCCATCTAGATTGTATATATGCCTAAAATATTAACATTCAACCTATTCATTCCCTGTTTTATATTTTCTGACTGGGGATATTAGTTCAGTATATCTTTCCATATCAGGAAAATATTAAAATTCAACCTATTCATTCCCTGTTTTATGTTTTCTGACTGGGGACATTGATTGAGTATTCTGACATTTCATGTCCCTAAAACTATTTTTTGTTCAATTCAAACAGTCACTGGATGATGGTCTGGTAACATATATCTTGCATGTCTTTCCTTATCAAAAGAGGAAATTATTCTAAAGAGTTTGACCCCACATTATGCCATTTTTTTAAATACTTTTGCTAACAGGCACTAAATGGCAGTCAGGTGAGTGTCACCTGTTAAACATGGCCCTTCTTATCAAGAAAGGAGTTAATATATTTTTCATCTACTGGCCTGTTTTTTTCTTTTTCAAGCGGCTTTAATAAAGGGAATGTGCTCTTTGACAGGATTTAAACCGTATCCATCTTATCTAGGTGCAAAAACCTTATAGATTGGCATGCTTTTAGACCAACTCGGCCATGAAGGTCTTCATGGTTGAATTATCTTTACAAAGGAAAGAAAATCTTTAATTTCAAAACCTATATCTGCTAAATTTTATTTTCATATCCAAAATGCAAAGTAATTTTTTTTCTCTTTTGAAGGTATTAATGGATATACACACACAGATTATATATATATATATATATATATATATATATATATACATATACCAGATGTAACAGAAAAACTGTCCAATCTTAGAAATGATTAAAGATATCTTACTGGAATTCTCCAAGGTTTTTATAACACTTGTGGACTCTACTTTGAGCAATAAGAATGTATTAATTACTCTCCAAGCTTAACAGATGTATCATAAAGTATAATGAAATCAATCATAAAGGAAAATGACATATTCATCATTAATTAATCATAGCTAAGGATCAGAAACTCATGAAGGATTGAAATAAAATTCAAAAAATATATATATATATATATATATATATATATATATATATATATTCTTGGATTATTTTCCAATGTATTCAAGATGATCTTTACCCTCTAACCTTCTGTCCTGGAGTAACAATGTGCCTCAGAGGTTTCATGTACTATTTCATTTTTAAGTTTTTATTCACTACTCTTTGGACTATCATAGGTGAAGCTCCTTTCTCACATGCCAAACATGTTATAGATCGAGTTGGATCTTTTCTAATTGATCTTTTTAGCTCTAAGTTGAAATGATGATCCCTTTTCTTGTTTTGACCTCCTGATCCAATTTTCCTCTCTACTGTTTCCTCTTTTTTAAACTTATTCACCATTCTCTTCATGGTTCTTGAATGGACTTTGAAGATGGAAGCGGGAGAATGAATGTTGGTACCATTACTGAAGGTCTGAATGATCCTTTTCCTTTCACCATTACTCAGTTGGGAAGACTGGAGCTGACACAAAATGATTTTAACCTGTTCTCTTTCTAGCTGAATAACTCAAAGGGTTTTTCAGTGATTTTTATGGCAAAGGATATCAAGATGGCTAAATGTATTATCTAAAAACCTATCTCCATCACCTATATTTTTTTTTCTTCTCAAACAAATGGAAAAAAGGAAGTGACGTTTCACACACTACAAGCCTACAAGCATGATTGTTCATAACCATTTTCGATTCTCACCCGTCGAAGTGGAGTTGAAATGCACTGAAACAAAGTTGCATCTTTGTAGTGAGTAAAATGGTTTTGTCTATATGATAAAATTATAATAAAGGAATAATTATTGCTCTACTATTAGATTAATGCTGTGAACATTGGAATTTATATATTACTTTCATTCTCATCACATTGGAGAGATATATATATATATATATATATATATATATATATGTGTGTATTTTGGCTTTTTTTTAATCAATTCGTGCCAAGCAAGGTGATAGTGCCACAAAGTCTCAAGTAACCGGAGTGGGGTGTTGAAAGAAAATAGAAACTGCATCACTTGAGGACTTTCAACAGCAGCAACAATTAACACAACTCAAAGAAAAATTAATGATATCATCAAGATGTTGAGGCTCCATACTACTTCAAATATTCAAATAAAATATTATGAAGGAAGCCTTCATCAGTACTGGAAAGAACAATAACAGTTAGTGAACTTGAGGAACCTATTTCCTTGAAGAAATTGTTTTAAGAGAAAGATTTGATAAATTTCAACTGAAAATAGCACTGGCTGCTCGGTCAATGAATGCTGAATGTTTCTTTATAAGGAAATGGTCAATATCCCTTTAGTGATGAACAGCTTACAACAATTTCATGTTGAAACACAGTTCTCATTCAGTCACTGAAGTTAACCTTGTCAGTATCTAGACGGGAATACTTGGATGTGCAGGTCATGTAATGGATAACGACTTTGAATGTGAAAAGAGAGCCGAGTTTAAATTCCAGTTGGGTTCATTATGTTCACTTATATGCAAATACTCTTGGAAAAGGTATGAATCGACCTCTTTTCCTCTCAGATGTGGGTTAAATAGTAAGACATATTAGGTTTGGTTTGTTTTACAGCATATCAACCTCAATGGGTTATTTAATGCTCACAAGATTTTTATTGCTGGTAATTTTTTGTTTTCAAAAAGTATTTCTGGTAATATTTTTTCCAAAAATGTATTGCTGGTAATATTTTTTTTCAAAAATGTATTACTGGTAATAATTTTTTACAAAAATGTATTGCTTTTATTAAACCCTATTTTTACACTTTTATAGTGTTTTGATCCAAGTTTGGGGGTTAACTATTTTCCCATAGCTGGGACCCTAACAGGTGCTACCACCCCGGGTCAGGGTGGACATAGGAACACTAGCAATTTAGAGGTGGTTCCATGCTCCTCAAAACCTGATCAGAGGCCTTGTTGTTGGATGTTGTTTGTCTTACCCAGGATGCTGTGTATCAGAAAATTATTAGTATTTCCAGAAAATTATTACAATCCAAAAATGTTTCAACTTTAAATAACCTTAAAAAGGTTGATAATCCATAAAAAACAAAATCAATCGATCATAGTGATGCACAAGTTCTTGTTTACTTCTCCAACAGTGGCCACCAAACAGACCTCACCTTTTACAGATTGCGTCTATAATTTTTGGTAGGTTACTATATAGTTCTTCATTAGACACATGATGTTTCTAACTAACATTTAGATATGCTTTCAATAGTCAAGTGTATGTACTGTTATTTGGTAATGTCCAACTGTGTATTGATTTGATGGCATCTTTCAGTTCCTCAATGGTGAAGTCATCTGTTCCTATTGGTAGTTCATCAAACACTTTTAACACGGTGTCTTATTGTCTATGTTATGTAGATGACCAAGTACATTAAAAAAGTTACTTCCATAGTTTTATGCATTAATATAATGCATTGATTATTATTTTCAAGAAATTTGATCCGTAGAAAATCTTTTTTTGTAGAAAAGATGGAAATAATTAGCTCTGGGAAAATTATTTGACAAAATTGTTTAAAATTGGGAAATTGTTTTAATCCACTTTTGATATTAAATCATTATTTGTGTCTTTCATGTTGATATACAGGAAACTCAGATTAATATGGTTAATGTGTTGATAAAGTGCTGTGATCATCAAAACCACATTAATCAAACTTAAAAACCAGAATATCAAATTTTAAAAAAGATTAAAGATTTTATATAAAGAATTTTAATATATTAAAAGGTAATTTATTTTTGGCGATAAAACTTTTAAATAATTTTTCAGCAGACATTTTGTATTTTCACTCCTCTCCCACCCCAAAAGACAACAATATATGTTCATGAAAAAAACACAGCTAAAAATTTTACAAACCAAACAACATTTTATATTTTCCAGTTGAGGCCAGATTTTCTAGATCTTCAGTTGAAGTTTGGAGTGAAATTTCAAATAATTTAATTTCTTTATAAACATGTAAATATTTTTCAAATGGTTTAATTTCTTTGTAAGCATATAAATATTTTTGTGGCCAAATGACATATCACAGCTGAATGAAAGAGTGGGGTGGGGGGGCGTTGATTGACTTTAAAATATTTTTGAACATTTTTCTTAAGAAAATACCTTTTTTTAGGAATAAATCCTGAAAATTATTTTTATTTTTATTTAAATCTTATAATTAGTTGAATTTCAGTACATTTTAATAATCTTGATGTGGTTTGCTTGTTGTAGTTTTTAAAAGTGGGCACACATGCACTGGAAGTCAACCCCTTTCAAAAAAAAAAAAAATTAAAAAAATGAAAAGCCAAAAACAATAACATCAAAACATTTTGGAAGAAAACTGTGTAACCTTTAATTATTGTGCTAATCAAATTTTTGGATGTGCTATTTGATGTTGGGCATGGAAAATTGTTAGTGTGTTAATCAAATACATGCTAATCAGAACCACATTAATCGAGGATTTCCTGTACACTTTTTCATATTTAACTGTAGTTTTGGCAACATTTTTCTTCTCTTGAAGAAAGAAGTGGGGAAAATAACAAAAAAATGTTTGTATTTGTTTGCATTTTCACAGTTGTGATTTCGAAATTAACTTTTAAGCTGAAAATTCTTCTGTCACGTCCAATTAGTGCATAAGGTAAAAAAGAATGAGAGAGTGAATGAAAAAGTAACTTTTTTTTTTAATATCAGCAAACAAATTTTTGGGCGGAATGTTTTTTGTTCTATTTTTCATTGGGGAAGAGGCATTCTGCTTCAAAATTTGTTCTGTAATACTTTAAATGATGTGTGGGTATTCCAGAAGATATTGGCACCAAATGTGGAATTGGCAAGCTTTGTTCAAATATCAAGCCAGTCACGTTTGCCTTCACATAAATGCCTTTGAGAAAGATGGGAATCAGTTCTGTCTCCTCCCCAACTATGGGTTAAATAGCAGGCTAGACTGACTCTGTAGCTTTAGGAGACAACCTGTTTCAGAAGGAAAATGCAAAATTACAAGATATGTGTAAGTAAAATCAGGAACAAACAATAGGAAGGGAACGGGTTGGCCCGGCACCGCCTACTTCCGGAAGAAACAAAACTCCTCAGCTTCAAGACAGGTTGCTCAAAACAATTTAGCTTCAACACTCAATAACAACGCTGCCTCGTAGTTCGCTACACATGATCTCCTGAGTGGTCTCCTGGCCTCACATTTATGCCAGCGAACACCAACCAATTTGCATACGGCCAAGTTCACCTCTCGCCAATCCTCGCAGCTACGAGATCACGTTTCCCATAAGACCGACTCACCGTAATGGCGGTGTTTCTTCCTTCGGATCAATTACTGCCCTGCACGCCAGACACAAACGAACCCTCTTATGTCAAGAGCTAAGGTTAGTCTCACTTTCATGTCCACAATATGAAGACCAGACAGTTGGAAACTACTGTCCTTCCCAAAACTTTATGGCAATTCACAGTTAACAAATAAAAAAAAATATGAAATCATATTTTAAGTTCTGAAGAGGCATGGGATTTAAAAAATACTTTAAAAAATATACTTATTTGATACCTGACAAAGATGTGCTCAAATGTAATTTTTGTCATAGGTTTCATTTAGAGCTTTGATATTAAACAGGTGATAAGTGACAATGAAGTTAATAGTGGATCAAAAATTCAAGATTATGGAAACAAAATATTTATGTGCTTATAAAGTTTATAAGATTTTTAGCACACATAATGATGAAAGAGGGCTTGGAGAATCTGATATTCACAGGACAGATTGAGGGCAAGAGGGATAGAGGTAAACAACGCATAACCTACTTGACTATGGTGGAACAGTGCTTGGGAGAAATGACAAAAAGACAATTTATTAAGAGCTGCAAAGGACAGTAAATTGTGGAGAGCCACGATCACCTAAGTCCTTAGGGGACATTGCACATAAAAAGGAAGAAGAAACAAATGAATCGGTATGAAAGATCTTGATATGTTGACTTATTTTTCTAATCCCCAAATGAATGTTTTTGTCATTAAAAACAGAATCTTTAAATGACTATTGCTATAATTTTCTGACATCTTATTGTCATTTTTATTAGAACATGTAAAATTGAATAACCTCTGATCATTGAAAATGAAATAAAACAGCTTCTGACAAACTTTGAACTGTCATCCTGTGTACCCAGAAGGCTCAGTTTTCAAGTCATTTTCAACCGATGGTGAGATAAATCTATTGATTTCATATAATTTAGGATCTTTGTTTTTATTTGGACTAAAGTCTTCATCTCTGTTGTTGTTATCATAACATTTCAACCATTTGGTCCCCTCTACCTTCATCAGATATCAGTTGATTTGGGTAACCTTAGGGGAATTTCAAACTGAACACTTTATTTAATCTACAGTGATAAATATTCTCATTTCACTGTTCATATCCAATCATATCTTGTTTTTATTTTAGTACTGCTTGGTTTTTGCTTGCACTGTTTCCATTGAATCTATGCTAGCTATCCCGGGGATTGAACTCACAATCACTATGCTATGAAATTCATGAACCTATGCTTTAATCCACTAGGTAATTATCCTATTGAACACTCCTGAATCCATAACTACTGAGGCCCTTTAAACACTTTTTCAGGATTTTGGTAAACCTCCTTGAGATAGAGCACAGGATTTTGGATAGCATGCACATTTCAGTAGTTGCTGCTTCCAGATGATGAGTATCAAAGACAACCAATCCTAAGGAAAACGTTAAAAAAATAATTTCATGAACTCATCCATGAGGACTGTTACCAAAAAATTTATCAGCTCTCACACATGATTGGAATGAATTATGAAATCTGCCAGGAGACTTTCACAGAAGATCTGAACATACATTATGTTGCCATAGAATTTATTCTCTTGGCAATTAACATCCAATCAAATGCAGCCATGTCTTGATGTGTGACTCAAGCTTCATGAGAAACATTAACTGCAGAAATAATGAAGATTTTTTTTTTTTTTGTCCAGGAATATTCTAATCCCACCCACATTTATGTAGAAACTAGAAATGTGAAAATGATTTAATAAGCTTGATTAATTATGATATAAATTAAGGGCTATTTTCAACTGGAAGTAACATTTCCCTGTATTGAGGTAGATTATATGAGTGGTGCTCTAAAAGTAAACCTTTCCATTTATTTCCGTGGGAACTACAACAGATATAAGGAAGACAGCAGAACAATTTTTCAACAATGAGACACTGTTTTTACACACTGTCACCACCATTGATTGTGCATTTTCATTTTCACCAGGGTCATTGTGTACTATCCTGAACTCCCTACCTGGGGGAGCCTGATTGGGGGACCTGGGCAGTGCTTTCTAACTCTTGGTATCTTATTAACATTTGCTTTTTATCTATCTACATTTATATATGTATAGTGAAGAAAATGGTGACTTACCTCGTCAAACCAAGTGACAGCGCATTGCGTGGCAAAAAAGAAAATTACTTACTAAACAAAAGGGCATGTATTCCCCATGACATGCTGAAGATGGAATATTTGAATTAAAAAAAAACAAGTCCGTCACTGGAGCCACTATAAAAGTATTTTGATATGCAAATTACTGAACATCCTCTCCCAGCTGTTGAAGAATGGAAAAAAATGCTTGGCCGATAAAAGCAGTTGGTGTTCTCGAATCGCTAGATGAAAAAGTTGGCTATTTTAGCTGCAATGTTGGTTGGAGAGTTATTTTTCTGACTGGTTGCGTGCATTGTGATTTGTGAAATAGCACTTGCGAATCGAGTTTTCGGCATTTTCTTTCTGTCCCTGATGTTCGAGTCTGAACTTAGTGATTTATTCTCTGTGATGTGGAAATAATCTGCGACAAACATTTCCTTTGCAATCCCAGATCACTTACAATATGTTACAAACTAAACTAAGCACATCTGACTATTAAACGATGAAAAAATTTTTGCAGATTTTGATGTCATTCTGGAGTCCTTTTTTTTTTTGTCTAAATCCGTGAATTTGTTTTTCCTCGTGATAAGTCTAAAAAAAAAACTATATAAAAATCACTATTTTTTTTATCCATAATGTTGAATGTCTTAAAATTATTCAACTTTTTAACAAGAAAAATATCAAATTGATATTTAAAAATTGCTGCAAAACATTGTTGATTTAAGATGGAATCATCTATTATGACATGTCTGTAATTTGGATTTAGATACATTGTATTTATTTTCAGTTTTTCTAAATGAATTGTTCACTTATAGTGCATATAATCCATAATTGTATACAATTAGATTACAATAAAATTTGTAATTTATATGAATGCTACCTCATGAAAATTGAGATATAGTGGAGTAGGGTTGGGGGAGGCATAAGAACGTTTCACCAGCCCTGATTTTCACTAGTGTGAACAAGAATCTATTCTCATATACTGCTATAATATCATTGCCTAAATATGCTCACACACATCATTTGGTTTCTGTAAATGTTCAGAAGATATTGATGCAATTTTTTTTCTACATAGAGGAATTCACTTCCTTATATATCATATGTACTTTCATGTCAGACATTATTTTGGTAAATCTGCTATTTATAACAAGGTAAAAAAAAAAAAATATGGGTAAGAAGTTTACAGCCATACTGTCATAATATTTTTGTACAGGTACAGTAACTGCAGACATATTAAAAAGTAATTCATAAGGTAACATATATATATATATATATATATATATATATATATATATATATAATGCTAATACAGAAATATAACAATGCTAAAAACAGTTAAACTGGTTTATCAGTCCTCCCTCATCATGACTAAAAATATACAACCCCAGGCTAATGTTATATACAAACAAGAAATATAACATTAAAGGTGAATTAAGACAACCAACTACTTTTTCTGCTTACAGAGAGATGGCTGGTAGGACTTAATGTACACTGATTCTAAAACTTTAAAGTTGTTGATTCCAATGTGCTGGGGAATTAATATTTGTTAAATCTGTTTGTTGGATAGTTCTGTTACTTATTTTGCATTTGACCATGGCTACTCATTCCACAAAAGTGATAATCAGTATTAACTGATCTCACCAGGGAAAATATGTCCTAGCTATAAGACCAGGCACACTGCTATTCCCTTGTGAATATTGTCTGGTACATATTGCTTGGTCCATGCTTCTAACCTTTGACTCGTTCTGCCCACAGTATCACACTGACATCTAAATGAGCAACCTTCTGAATCGGTCTCAACATCAGTCAGGCACCAAAAACAATATGTGGATTAGTAAAAAAAAAATAATAGGTTCATACACCAATTGTAATTTACTTTGCAAATCTTGTCACACTTGTCAATCCATGGTAAGTGCCAATTTTTGAGAACCACTCAGCCTAGGCTTATGAAATTGTCACATTTTTTTCTAATGCTGGATTCCACAATATCCAGTGAGAAGCCTCCTAATAAATTAAATTTCAGAATCCATTTTAGTTTCTGAGCATATGACCAAGGCTCTATGAACCAAGGTTTTAATTAAATTGATTTGCAGCTGCTTACAATAGAATGAATTTCACAAGGGTATATAAATGCATGAAGGTTGATTCTGGTATACTGATGTAAGAAATCCCATATTTAATCTTTGTACCATGACATTGAGAAAAGGAAGAACACAATTGTTCTTTTTTTCGCATATGAAATCTAATGCCAAGTGCAATGTATTAAATACTTGATGGAAAACTCCAGCCCCAACCTAATTTTCCAATGCTCAAATGTTGTCATCCACATATCTGACATAATACCTTGGTCTTTCAATATGAACAAGTAGATCTTGCTTGAAAAACCAACAAATATATTTGCTATCATCAGCCCTAAAGAACTAATCATTACTATCCTATCTATAAAGACAGCTTCAGGAGGAAATGAGGATATGAGATGACAAATACCTGTGGTACAACACATCAGCACAAATATCAATAATTTGATAAGATATACAGGTAAACAAGCTCTACTACCAAATGAGTGCATAAACTTATTCTCAATACTGAAAGGACACTTTTTCATATAGTTAACAAAAGTGAATGTAAACGATTCTTTAACACAATTACTCATATAATATTCCCTGCACAGGCTGTAACACAGCCAACCACTTTGCCAGCAATTGTTACAGAATCTGAAGGTTGGGGCCAGAATGGTCAGTGATTGGCTAAGGTGCCTTGTGGATATGGTATTCTGATAGTGATGGATTGCCTTTGTCTAGGTTTTTTACTATAAGTCTAAAATGGGGCATATTGAACAGAGGGTCTCAAGAATTCTGAAGTGTTAATATGCCCCCGACCCAGGTTTGCGACCAGCTAATACCAGCCACAAAGGGAAGTTAAACCAATGTGCAACATCCGTCCTGTGATGTCATTCCTCCTACTGCTGCTAAGAATCCAACCTGCCACTATTAAATAACAATTTAGCTGACTATTATTTTTTAGGGAAGTGTATTGCTGCTCTGACTTCGTGGGGTTGACCTTTGAGATCAGATACAAAACAAAACAAAGGGAGTCAATTTTCAATATCTGAGCCAGTATGGGAACAATAGATAGAAAAAGGTTTTCAGTGACCTGAGTCTTAATTGTTGAGCAATGTAGACATGTTTCCTTTTTGTGTCTGGATCTGCTCCCCAGTGGAGGAAGAGAGAGCGACTCAACTGTCTAGTTAGGAGATGTGTACAGTGACGTTAATAAACTAGCTAACTTAAAATTACCTGTGTTGAAGTTGTTTCCATCTTGAAGATACAACATATGAGTGAATTGACATCATTATCCAAGACCTCCCCAGAATCATGTGGCGATGTAACACCACTCTTAATAAAATGAATACCAAATATAAATGACTCTTTTTGTTGATACTGTTTTATGTAGTAGCAAGGGATCTTGAGATGACACAGAACATAACATAATTGACTTAGTCCTGTCCTGTATTTTGTTTGGTCTGAACCTTATAAATTTTCCCTATCATGTTATTGATATAATTGTCATAAAGTGGTCACATTGCAGTTTTGACTTTGGCATCTATAATTGATGTTCTCAACAAAATTCAGTAAATATTTTTTATCTTTTTCATGTCATGGTAGTTATGGACAGTTAAGTAAAGCTTAGATTCAGCCAGATTTCTTGGTCTTCATGGGAATGTAACAAAATTTTTGTCTTATCTTTTGTCTGCTATACTGACCATGAGCCATTCAAACTCTGACTTGTTCACTTTCTTGCTTTTGATTAACAGCATGAATCTGATGGTCATAAAATAAGACAAAAGAACTCCTGTCTTGATTCTTCATTTATAACCACCACTCTTATGCCAAAAAACCCTCACTACTAGTTGGTTGTGGTCAGAAGCAGGTATTTAATCCCTACCCTACACCAAGATTTCTAAGTTCATTCACCTTGTCTCTTGGTTCCCAATAGGTAAGGGTTCTTGTTTCATGTCCCATTCTCCATCTTACATGATAAGATGCAGTTATTTCTTTCTGAAAATAAATGTGTACAAACGTAGAGTCTATTTCTGTAATTAACAATGTTATTTTCTCTGTTTCTTTGTTTCAGTGGTTTACTAAAAACAACAGATAAATAAAATTATCAAATGAATCTTAATCTGATTATCTCAAAGGTCAGCAAGAAAATGATATATTCATAATATCAGCATTCTGTTGCAGGGGAAAAGTAACTTAGAAATACTAAAATGATATGTATTTTTTTTTTAACCATATTGCCCCAGGCAAGGTGGGAGTGCCACTAGCATTGCAAGGGGTTGCAGAAAGCGAGAGGAAGAGTAAGGAGGGTTGTTTGAGGAAAGGACACAGTGAAGGACGAGGATCAGGATCAAAGCATCAGAAGATGTCGATTGACATTACATTTGAATATTTGAAGGTTATAGGAAAGCAAGTAAGAGGGAGGGTGTTCTACTGACAGGAGGTGTGAAATAAGAAGCTGTTGGTGTAGAAGAGACAGCTACATTTAACAGTTTTGGCAATGAAAGAGTGGAACCAAGATACCAACCTTGTAGCATGCTTAAATTCATGCAGTTTGGGAACCAGTGAAAGTAGCTTGTCAGAGCAGTTGCCATAAAAATACTTGTAGAAAAGACAGAGGGAAACCACAACACATCTGTGAGAAAATGACTGTAGATGAGATGCCAGATCAGGACCTATCACACTGCATATTCGTCTGTAGATTTTGTTAAGAACCTCATGATGAATATCACAGGAACCAGGTCATATATGGCAATAATATTCAATGCAAGGATGAATGGTTGATTCCATTAAACCAATATTCTGCTGCTTTGTAGAATGAATGGCCATGGTTAAATGTAAATAAATGACACACTTGCCCAACAAACAGAATTAGCAAAGTTTGCAATAAACAACATGAAAAAGAAAAGAATAGGACAGAAATTAATGCTGAGAATTAAGCAAACAATATATGCAAGGCAAATTAACAGTAATAAAGCAAAGCAACAGTAATATGGCAAAAAGTTTACAAACTAAGAATTGGTGTTGACACACAAAAGCAAGTTTGGATAAATGAACGTAGTGTTGTAACTTCAAGACAAGACAGACCAAATCTGAATCAGATGAAACCAAGGTGTATTTTATTGGCTAAGAAGAAATCCCAGCATGCATTTGTATGCTTCCGCCTATAAATTGGGAAGGGGAAGAATTTTGCAGTCATTTCTATACAAGATTGGAAACAATGTGTTTGAACAGCATAATAAAATTATTTTCATTTCACTTTACTGTTTATAATAATTTGAATGAATCATATTCATTTTTTCAAGTTACTACTTGAAAAAATGAAAACTTAAATTTAAAATTAAATTTAGCATTTTCTTTTTTTTTTTTTTAACATTTTTATTTTGAACGTAACACAACTATGTGGAAAAGGATTTTTTTTCATGAACTTACAGTAAAATTAATAAATTAAGTTAAAATTATAAGAAAATTCTTGATCTTATGCAAAAGTTTATTAATAAAGACTTTTAAGAAACAATAGAAATCAATTTTAAAATTTAGAAAAAAATAAATCAAATTAACTGGAAAGTTCAAATGGAAGAATACTTACTAACTGTCTATAATCAGTCAGTAGTTACTTAAACATTTAATTAAAACTGGTTATCTTCCTATACTGGTCCAGAAAGTAACTGACTGTTCCTGCTATACTCTTAACTTTAAAAAAGTCAGATCAAAACAGAAAAGGAATATTGTTGTCACATCTGGGCAATCCTAACTTTCTAGACTTAACAGATTTCAAAAAGATTTGTGTAACCGTGTCGGTGATGGATTGTTTTCAACCATACAACCCCTTTCTCAGAGATGTAAAAAACATGATTCAAAAACTTGAAACTCAGAGAGTAAAAAAGTGCAGAATAAAAACTAGAGGACTTAATCAATTACATTCTATTTCTTCTTTTTCTCCTCCTCCTCTTATTTCCGGTATCCCTTCAAGATCGTCTTTTTCTCTTTCTTCTCTTATTTACGGTATCCCTTCAAGATCTTCTTTTTCTTTTTCTTCTCTTATTTACGGTATCCCTTCAAGATCTTCTTTTTCTCCTCCTCTTATTTATGGTATCCTTTCAAGATCATCTTTTTCTCCTCCTCCTCTATTTGTGGTATCCCTTCAAGATTGTCTTTTTCTCCTCATCCTCTTATCTATGGGATCCCTTCAAGATTTTCTTCTCCTCCTCCACCTCTTATTTACGGTATCCCTTCAAAATCATGTTTTTCTCCTCCTCCTATTATTTATGGTATGCCATCAAGATCTTCTTTTTCTCCTCCTCCTCATTTATGGTATCCCCTCAAGATCTTCTTTTTCTCCTCCTCCTCCTCTTATGTACGGTATCTCTTCAAGATCTTCTTTTTCTCCTCCTCCTCTTATTAAGGTATCCCCTCAAGATCTCCTTTTTCTCCTCATCCTCTTATTTATGGTATCCCCTCAAGATCTTCTTTTTCTCCTCCTCCTCCTATTTACGGTATCCCCTCAAGATCTTCTTTTTCTCCTCCTCCTCCTCTTATTTATGGTATCCCCTCAAGATCTTCTTTTTCTCCTCCTCCTCCTCTTATTTATGGTATCCCTTCAAGATCTTCTTTTTCTCCTCCTCTTATTTACGGTATCCCTTGAAGATCTTCGACTGGATCAACTCTTCGCTATGGTGCCTAGATTCTTTTTAATTTAAGTGTAGTACTAGGCTGGCAATGAAGTCTCACTAATTTCCAGTTGCACTGGCTATATATAACAGTAAATTCTATGATAAAAGTTTCTTTTCTTGCACTTCTCACTTGTGGAACACCTTTCTGGCTCCATGCTTTCTGGCTAACTTTAATTTCCAAAAATTTGAATGCATTGCCAATTGCTATCTACTGTCCTCCTGATTTTCTTCTTTTGTTTTCGTTCCCTAGCAATGTTTCTATTTCTAACTCTTACACACCCAGTAACCACTTGTGTCTTAGTGGCTTTACTGCCTTGCATAGGGTAAACTCGATTTAAATAAAAATACTGTTAGTTTTTAACAGTACTCTGCTAGAATATTAATAAATGCATCACAAAAATAATGAATTGCTATATTTGACAGTTTACAAAAAAGATTCATAGCTCAAAAACTCCCTGTATCTTCTATACAAAATTTGAGCCCTCCACAGGCTAATTATATCCTCAGTGCTATCATTTTTTTTAATCATTTCACTAAATGCAAGGCAATAAAGGCACTAAGATGTAAGGGATTACTGAGTGTTAGAGAATATGAGAAAAAAAAACACTATTAAGGAGGGAGAACAATAAAAGAACACAAATTAACATTGCATTAAATTTTTGGAGATCAAAGATGATTGGGAAGCAAGAAATTGGAAGAAAGTTCCACAAGTGAGAAGTGTGAGAGAAGAAACTGTTAACATAGAACTTATGGTTACATGTAGCCATTTCCACTGTACAATGATAACTACAGTGGACTATTTTTATCTCAAGTAGTCATTTCTACAAAGCTTAACTCTATCAAAATATTATTTGCTCATACAATATTATTACTGCCAATAGTGTAAAAGGAATTATCATAACAAAATAATGATAACTCTGTTTTATTGCTACAACCATGTATATTTTCACTAGTGTGATTTCTTGCTTTATGTTCACCTGTACTGCTAGCTTTCTTTTTATATACAGTGATGTTTTCTGCTATAGCTAAAGCACTTCTGTAATATGTTGTAATGTACTAATAGCTTGCTTTAAACATTACACACTTGAATACACTGAAATGTCTTTTCCTGACTATGAAGAAAATGAAGAGTGAAGAAAACATTTTAATCTAAAAAAAAAATACACTAAAACCATTAAACATTACTTAATACATTAAAAGAAAATAGTATCATCTAGTGGTTGTGAGTTCAATCCTCAGATCAGGTAGTGAAGTACTGGTTCAGTAATCCTGAACAATTACTAGCATTGCTGGGACAAAATAGTATAATAATGAACAGATATCCAGTCATGCAAAGCATTGGGCACATGATAATGGCCTGAGGTACTTGGTTAAAATATTGTGTCTATAATAACATCTATAGCAACTAAGATGAGAACGATTGTTCTTGTGCTAGTCTCTAGCAGTAAATCATAATATATGACTTTTTCTTACTACCCAACCCAGGTATTGAAATCATAATCAACAGGTAACTAGAGCTCCTTTAACCAATACTGTTATTTGCTTAACCATGTGTTCCAGACGACAATTCTCAAGTCAGAATAACAGATACAAAATAATAAGGTAAATAATCCATTTGAAAAAAAATTACACTAAAAACTGCTCAGTAAGTCAAACATAGAAATGAACACCATAGAAAAGTCTTTAATTAAGAAAGAAAAAAAAACATTGGAAACTTGTCTGCCTCTTTAACTGAATGAGGGATGCAGCTTACATACAGCCTGTAATGTAATTCAGTGGTGAAATTTTTAGTTGCATTAAAGCTATATACTTTCATTCAGTTGAAGAGGCAGCTAAGTTTCCACTAACAGAATTGCCCTCTGGGACTCATAACAACATTGGTTTAAGGAGATCTAGTTAGTTGCTGGTTTGGTTTCAATACATAGTTTGGGTAGTAGGGAAGTTGTGATTTAATGGAAGAGACAAGTGATATCACAAGAACAAGTTATCTAGATAGAGATAACCTGAGATATCCTTTTGTGTAAACAATAGGATGAGAATTATCTATCTAACATGTATTGAATAAAGGGTTTTGTTTGAATTTCCCCAAAAATGACCTGTGACACTATGATCAACAATATAAAAGAGGAAGATGTGGATTACATCTCAATCTCAAGTGTTTCTGTTTTATGGCCATTAAATAGGTTCTTTTGGAATTTCATCTACTTTGACTGAAGGGGAACAGAAAAGTGAAGGAGTGGATGGGAGTTTTTGGAGGCGAAGTGACAATAAGCCAGACATTGATTATTTCTGGGTACCGGTCTATGTTAACAGTCATGTTTGGAATTGAGGGAGTTACTTCTGGTCCACAGAGATTGACTTATCTGTTGTATAGTTCTGATATCATGTTTTAGTATTGCCAGCCATCCGTTGAGATGTGTAGATAGGCATGGAGTTCGTGGGGGAAGAGCCGTTCTATGAGATCCACATCAAAATTGTCCCAAGTTTCACCAACATATCCACTAAGCTGAAGCCCTGAATAAAATGTCTAATTATAAGATTGAAAAAAGGGTTCACCTTCTCATTTCTCAATATGCTAGTTGTTTTACAGCTCCATCGTAGTAGGCCTTTTACCAGTTTTTGGCACACACCGGCAAAATGTGGGCAAATTATTGGCCAGTTGGTAGAAACCTTCAGCAAGGTTTGATCATGTATATTTTTTTTTCTTTTTAATCAATATCACCTCAAGCAATGCAGTACAACCACTAGCATGCGAGAAATTACAGAGTGTGGAAGAATTAGGAACAGGAACATTACTAATAAGTAGAAAGATAAAAAACAGTCAAGAGGACAGTAGATAGCAATTGACATTGCACTTAAAATTTTACATATTAAAGTTGGCTGGAAAGCATGGAGCTGGAAAAGAGTTTCACAAGTGAGAAATGCGAGCAAAGAAACTGTTAGCATAGAAGTTATGATTACATCTACCTAGCTCAAATGTAAATTGATGAGATCTCACCACCAGTGTAGTATTGTGCTTAAATTCATACAGTCTAGGTATCATAGCAAAGAGCTCATCTGAACAATTACCATGAAATATTTATAAGAAAGACACAGAAACATACAAACTAAGACAGACACATGAAGTCCAGATGATAAAACAACTGAAATATTGTAATGATGATGTAGACATAAGTTTGAGCAGATCAGTGTATAATCATGATAAACTGAAAAAAACATTTCCTTCTAAATAAGTCAAATGTAATAAACTTGAGAAAATTTTGAATTGCTCTAAACTTTATAGCCTCCTGTCCATTGCCCTAACTTTAGAGCTCAACCACATGATTTTAACGATGACTTTTGTCTTGTTTATCTTCCAAGTTCCTGTTTATATGATTCAAGATTTAAAACTGACAATGAAGACAAAGGTTATTTGTTCTGCCTTCAAGACAGTTTTAGTTTAGGATGAAGACTTTCAAAACTTGGCACTTTGGATGGAATTTATGATCATGTGACCTATAGACAGATTCAAAAACCATTAGACTTCAAATAAAAGGTAGATTTTGACGTTATTTTTATTACAGAATAGTTGTACAAGACGGATGATAATGGAAGTGGAGACTTTTTACCAAAGTTCTATTTGCCATTGATGTAGAATTTGTTCCAGAATTTACCGATGCTTCAATTTCTTGTCTGTATTTTTGACTGTAGATTTCAAGAAAACACTTTTTGGTTGTTTAATTGATTGAAAGGAAAAAAGAATTATTTAACATTTTAATGAAGTGTAATATTTATTATGATTGAGTTAGACTTTATGATAGACTCCCGTTACACCTTGCTACCATCTTGTGCTCTACAGTGAAGTATATATTCCAGGAATTAATCTTTGATACAAATTTCAGGTTAATATCTTTTTTTTTCTTTTCTTAAACTCCTTTGGTACTACAGATTGGGGATCCTTTATCTGAAATTCTTGGGACCCTGAAGTGTTTCGGTTTTCAGACATTTTTTGATTTTGGAATACACGTGATTTATTTTGTATATAGCATCTATAAAATGGGTCAGCTTGGGAATGGAACCCAAGCATAAACACGATATCCTTTTATATTTCATAACATGGTTTATACATATATCCTAAAGGTAGTTTTATATAAATAACACATACCCTGAAAGTAATTTTATATAAAATTTAATAAAGAGAGTATAAGCAACAAGGAACTTTTAAAGAAAATGGAAACAAAAAGAAGACTTAGAATCAGAAAGAGAAAGCTGAAATTTCTGGGCCACATAAGGAGGGTTGCTTGGAAAATTTGACACTCACAGGACATAGGGAAGACAAAAGGGATATGGTGAATGGGGGGGGGTTACACCTGACAAGTTTATGTGAATGGATGGCAGAATACAGAGTGGGAGGGATAGTGAAAAGACAAATATTACTAAGAGCTACAAATGATAGGAAGTTGTGGAGAGCCATGATTGCTATATCCTGAAGAGAGACAGCACATACAAGATAAGAACACAATGCTATTTTCTTAGTATGTGTTGTTGAAAAGTTTTCCTTCAACCATCTTAAGTCTATGTAAACGGTTTCACATATCTAGCATGTACTATTTGGTAGCTTTAATAATTAATAAGCTGAGAGACCCATCTCACATTTTATCTAAAACTATCTCACCAACAAATCTACTGTAGTCATAACTGATGATATAATCTTTTCTTTGTATTATGATTGGCTCCCCATCTTATGCAGATACAAAGTACTTTCTTCATCTCGGTTCTGGGAGAAGCCATAAATGAACAAACTTGTTTGCTAGACATTTGTCTATGTAAATGGAAATTTGTGCAAAAGATAAATCAAATATATCAGGGAAATTCTTTCCTACACTACATAAATGAATAAATTTTGCCCTTTTGATTATTCTCCGAGGAATTCCATCTTGTTGCTCGAAAGAGATGTAGATGGAAACTGTTATATCTCATCA